CTAATCACTAGGGTATCTAAAAATGGTAGCTCACCATCTTTTTTTCAATCCAAATGTGAATTTAATAGAGGGAATACAATTATTCAATTGGGAAACAAAATCATCTAAGCTGCAAGCGTTTTGATCAAAAATAGCAATGATATCGTCCACGTATCTTAATCAAATCCTCAGAAAATACCCCGAGCTACTAGCGAGGCTATTAAATTTATTTGTAAACAATATATATTAAGGTATGAATGAAAACAACACTGTTTTAAAGTTTCACTAAAATAGTGAAACTTGAAAACTGTGTTGTTTTCATTCATATATTAATAATACAGAGTTTCATCAAGTAAAGGCCGAAACAATCAACAATTATCTGTTAACCATTTAGCTAATTTTAAGTCGGTGAACCAATGACCGAAACTATTGGCCTCATAGACTTACCAGGCTTATGAATCTTGGGTAAACAATAGAGTCTAGGCACAATTGATCCAGAAACATGTAACATGCGCTTCAAAGCAGAAGTAACAAGTAGGTAATGCAATCTCGGTACACCAAGATCTCGAAATACCAAGATCTCGCAATAATTCTGCAAGATTAGTCTTGCACGAAAAATCATGCGCGATCTCGCAAGATTTGCGAGATAAGGACGCAGCGCATTCCATGTGTGTTTTGTGTTTTTGAGACGTCATTTTTAAAATAATGTAGTTTTTTCAGTAAATAATTTTAGTCATGTTTATGTTCTTTGGTTCAATAGCTTGATGATTATTCTTAAATAAATTATTTAATTTATGTTTTATGTAATTATTTTGCCCTTACGACATAACCTAACAAAGTTGGAATCCAAATAACTATACTAATTTCATGGTGAGGTCACTTTTTTGTTACAAATGCCAAATCTCAAATGAAAACGGCGATTCTGCGAAATCAAAATAAAATAAAGAGTATTTTATTCACTTTTGGGTAACCTTTATTTACTATAATTATAGTATGCTGCCGTACTAAGCGCAGAAGCGGTAATTAACATAATGGCTGTCATGAGATATTGGTACTTTTATGTTAATAGCTCTGCCAACTCAGTTTGGTAACAGACACCGCTAAAAATAACTTGATATTTCAATCATTTACTGACAAAATACCGATTTAATACCTTATTAAAGTAGAGATTTTTAACCCTAGGTTCATATTACGGAAAAATGTCAATTTCCTTTAAATGTGCAGTTACCGCTTCTGCGCTTAGGACGGCAGTATGAACCTCATACCTACAAAAAAAATGTTTAGCAGTAATTAAGTTTTATTGTGGGGCTCCACAAAACTTACTTCAAAACTTATTTTTAATTGCAGTAAGTATACTTACTGCAATTATAATTAAACTAAGATATAGAATAAAAAAAATAGAAAATATCAAAGGAACGAAGTTTTAAAAAAATCGTATTTATAGAAAACTAGTAAACTGGTGTGGTGGGGTTACGCAAACCCCAATTCGTACAAAAATCGAAATATCGTACACGAAGTAAAATATCGCGCTTCGTTGACACCGGTGGAGTACTGACCAAGATACATACACCTTAGTACTGACGGACAACTGGCCGGAAGCTACACAGGGGATAGCGAGCCTCGCACCATTATTTAATACGTGGTAAAGATTCTTAGAATCGGTGGGGTTTGGGAAACACCACCTCACCACTTACTGGTTAAATCTGCGAGATCTCGCAAAATACCGAGATCTTGCAATACCAAGATTGCACATTTTGCTGCAAGATTGCATTCCCTAGTAACAAGGTTGCTGCACTACAAATTTTTGACAAATCCGATATCATACTTTGCAAAGGGTTCTTCAATAACTTTAAATAAGGTCCATTACTAATCAAGTGATCCACCCTTTCATAATTATCATTTTTGTAGAACACAACGACTTTGTTACCTTTATCTGCTTTTACAAAGAAGCAGTCTTTCGATTTCGATTGAAAGTAACTTCTTTGGTTTTCAACCCTTCCTCTAGCAATACTGTTGTCAAGAGTCGCACCAACATCGTTGGTGAAAAGTACTTTAAGCACTTTGTGTTTTGTTTTGGTGTTGGAGAATATTTCCTATATTCGTTTAACATATCACCAAAGTTGTCCTTTTTTAAGTATAACCAGTAAATGTTAAAATATACTTTTCTTTTAAATTTCTACCTAACGTAAATAGCTTGTCATCAAAGTGATTTTTTTAATTTTGCATGGGCGATGTCAGTAGGGCTTTTTAATGAGGAGGGCACAAATTTATAAATTTTTGAACTTAGTATTACCAAGTTAATACAATAGGGTTTTATTGCCTGTTTGGAATCTACGCATACGAGTTTTTATTCAAACTTTACTTTTCTTAAACATTTTTTAAGAACGCTACAGCGTTTTGAAAACCACAAGATTAAAAAGAGACATCTTGATGATGTTATAACGGATTTGTCAAGAATTACGAATGAATCCAATATCTGTTTCTAGCATGGTTATGTTATATATCCTTTTAAATATTTAAATTGTTGCACACTGTTGCAGGCTTTACTTAAATCCAGTATCAATTTACAAATAACACAAATTGTATTTTAAAACCATAAAACATATTTAATAAAATGTTTTTAAATAACATTTATATTATAAATAGGAGGAACTAAGAGGTCTAAAGCCTCCTTGGCATGATTTTTTGTTTACTTTTAGACTATTTTTTTGCTTGTCAATACAGGATCTGAACTCAATAAAAACAAGTTAAAAATGGGTGCGTTGGTTTTTCCCGGCTGCATTTTCTGGAATAATGTTTACGGTACTTTTTAAAGTCTTTGTTACACGCTTCTTGAGCCTCTTCAGTTAATTGTCCAATGGGCAACGGTGCACTAGATATATTGTAATGTTATTTTCTTGATATTGCTACGATGCTACCTCTAGGTCCTGTACTTGCTTTGCTGGTTGTAGCCACCCCGTTTTCAATTTTGATTACAAAAGTCACCCACACAAACACGATAGCAATAAAACACAGAACTTGACCACTGCAAATACATAAACACAAATGAACATAAACATAGACCAAAGATTACATATACTCTTTTATTTGTACCTCCCAACCTGAAATTTTAGGATAATTATTTAAGGGAATTATTTTGTAATATTTCCTGTAATAATAAATAAAAATAAGTTAATTACATTTTAGGTGTTTGTCATAAAACTTCAAGTAAAAAAATATCGATTTGAAATAATACTTTCTCTATGTAATTTTGTATACACCTTGTATAATAATTTTGAGCAAATACATACAAATCAGAAGAATAGGACTTTATAATACTAAGAAATTATGTAAATTGGCCCAGAATATTTAAACCATATCAAAAAATGTTTTTTTTTTTATTAATTTCTAATTATCAGTTTTATAGGTATCAATACCGATTTTTTTAACCAAAATCGCAAAAAAATTTAACGTGCCACATTTGGCATCATTAGGCATTTCTGAAATGTAAACAAAAGGAGGTACTTGATATGCCTCAATACACAACTAAAACTCTACATGTTTCAACGAAACGCAATATTTGTATGGCAGATTACATTCATTATTATTTAGTTCTAGGGTTATTATTCGTTGTGATTAGTATTTTTTCCAAATAAAAATTATAAAAATAAAGCACATACTTGCATCTATCCCCTCCATATCAAAAAAAATAAATTTAAATATAATTTAAAACAGCTACAATGCTGTTAATATGCACGGAAATAAACAAAGTAATAATTCAAATACCCCATAGAGACCTATACAAAATAATCTATCTAATAATAATCTATGGTTTTTTCCGGATACGGCCCGATAGAAAATTTATAGGAAATTACCTATAGGCACACCATAACTTTTACATTTTCCCTATTGAGACCGATAGCAAATAACTCAATGAAGGATATATAGGGATATCACTATAGAGCAAAACATTTGACAAAATTTTAAAAAACCTATGGTGTCCTATGGGGGAAAAACTAATTTTTACATTTATGTTTATTTTCCCCATTAAAACCACTAGCAAACCATAAATCCTAACTATGGGTCCTATACATACCCATACACCCTATAGAAACACCATACATTCCGATACAAATATCTATCAGATATTTTAAGCAGGGAAGGGAAGTTTCCTTTTGCAACCGTATAAGAGGGTAGGGGCATATTATTAGTGCTGAAGCATTCGGTATTTTATGCACAGGGGGTTGGTAATATTTTTGTCTATATAGAGAATATTTTCACTTCACTTCATTTTTCGAATTAATACCGGATTTGAGTGGATCCTGCCCCACTGTGCGTAAATGACATTCCTAGGATATCCCAAAAGGCCGACTTATGGATGTCCTTATCGGATCATCCCATTCTGGGACATAACCCTGCTTAAAATACCCCATAGAGACCTATACAAAATAATCTATCGGGCGCTACCGGATTCAATATGTGCATTTGTCCATGGTTTTTTCCGGATACGGCCCGATAGAAATTGTATAGGAAATTACCCATAGGCACACCATAACATTTACATTTTCCCTATTGAGACCGATAGAAAATAACTCAATGAAGGATATATGGGTATATCCCTATAGAGCAACCATAAAACATTTGAAAAAATTTTATTAAAACTTATAGGGTCCTATTGGGGAAAAGTAATTTCTACATTTATGTTTATTTTCCCCATTGAAACCAATAGCAAATAAATCAAGGGTGGATATCCCTTAGAACAACCATAAATCCCAACTATGGGTCCTATACATACCGATACACCCTATAGAAACACCATACATTCCGATACAAATATCTAACGGTTTGAACAGGGTCTCTATGGGGTATTTTAAGCAGGGAACGCATATCCCTACTTAAAATACCCCATACACCCCAATAAATATAAAATCAAATTGGAATAGGAGGGTAAACACTAGCGTGTTAAGAAAACTATTGAAACAATATTTTTTTTAGTTTATGCATAAAATAATGTAAAATTAATTAATAATATTTTTAAATAGATTCTGGTCGAAAAGGATTTAGGAGCAATTCGGCAATTGACTTACAAGCAGCACAAAGAGCAAAGGCGCGTGCTCAATATGCCCAGATGGCAAGGACCAAAATTTCATCTGGAACCGCCAGTTTGCGTATGTCATTTATTTTATATAAGTAAAATATAATTATGCACTAAATATATTTTTTAGCATTTACCTTAACAAAAACTAAACAAAGCATGAATAAATAAAAAAAACTTAAAATGTAGTATTGTAATAAACTAAAATAGTTCTTATTTTTAAGACAATATTTGTATGACTTTAATATCCATTAATAATTAATTGATTAATTAATAATTATTATTTTTAAAATTAAAAAAAAATAGCCATGATTTGGAAACTTAATACTAACATATGCTTTTTTCCATGTTTCTATGTTTTTTTTGCTTTAGAGGAAGACTTATCTAAGCAAGGTATTTGATTAATCATTTTAAAGTTATTTTTTAAATAAATTATAAATTGTTTTCCTACAGCTCGGCCAAGAAAGTCTTCAGATGTTATAGTGACCCCATCTCCTGAAAGACTAAGTAGAAACCGAAATCGGAATTCACAATCTCAACGTAAGTTTTTCAATTATTGCCGTTTTTTAGTTTATAGTATTTATATAGCAAGCTTTTAATATTTTAAAATCTGTAATGTGCAAATTTAAATAAATTTAATAGCACTCTATTTTTAAACATTTTAGCTACCAGTAGGTCTGGATCCCCAAGTTCAAGAATAGGTACATATTTTTATAGAGGTGCGGATCAAGACTCTCCAAGGCCAAGACGATTATCATCCGGTATTCCAAGATCAAGTCAAGGATCACGAGACACATCACGCGAAACAAGCCCCAGCAGATCGTCGACGGTGTCAAGATTTAGAAAAGGAAGTGATAGACCACCAGTAAACCCAATATCTAGACCTGTACTTGCCCAAAAAATACTTCAACAAAGTAGGGAGGCTGAAAATGCTCTTGCGGACGTTTTGGTAAGTAAAACAGTTAAATACATTAATTTTCTACAAAGACTGGAAAATATTGAAAATATTTATTTAAAATTAAAAAATATATATAATAACCCTAGAATTTGTTCAGTGTAATGTGTATGATCTGGTAAAAGAGCTGGAACAATTTATATCCTAAATAGTGATAAAATCTCAGAAGCTGACGTTGCGAGTGCCAAGATCTTGGTGCTAACATTTTCAAGCGATTCTACATTTTAACTCATCTTCCATTAATAGTTAAAAACCGTGGACCACTTTGGGCACATTCCGGATTCCCTTACGAATCTTGGAATAAAAAGATTTTCGACAAAATACCCTGCTTAAAATACCCCATAGGTTTTAATAATAGGACCCCATAGGTTTTAATAAAATTTTGTCAAATGTTTTATGGTTGTTCTATAGGGATATCCCTATATATCCTTCATTGAGTTATTTTCTATCGGTCTCAATAGGGAAAATGTAAAAGTTATGGTATGCCTATAGGTAATTTCCTATACATTTTCTATCGGGCTGTATCCGGAAAAAACCTTGGACAAATGCACATATTGAAACCGGTAGCGCCCTATAGAATATTTTGTATAGGTCTCTATGGGGTATTTTAAGCAGGGTAGGCAGCCCAAAATGCAGCGAGAGCGAGTAGCAACAAGATTCGTACTTCTAAGGTATATCCTTTTCTTGGATACGGCATAGATATGACTGCAGACGGACGTAAAATGATTAATTTAATTTTATAAGACTGGAGGTGGAAAATCAATGATGTCAAAATTCCAAATTTTCGAAGCTATATTGATGAATTGTTGATTGTTGATTAACTGATACTTGGCTCGAAATTTAGGCATCAAGTTAATAAACTACGAAAATATCGTGATACTATTGTATCTGGAAGGAACTTTGTTTTTAAAGAAATTACCGAAATTGTTAGCTTTAAATCAAATCGACGACCTACCGCGGGTATTTTTATGAATATTATTGAAGATCATACAACGTATGTACGGAAGTTATTACGAGATAAGGAAAAATTTATTAATTCAGTTGACTTAGTGTGCGCCTCTTTTTATAGGTCACAGTTAGTTTATTTTGTGTTATTGGTTTTATTACAATTGCAAAAAGAAATGTTATTTAGATGAACTGTCAGTTGATGGTTAATGATACTACCCTGCTTAAAATACCCCATAGAGACCTATACAAAATAATCTATCGGGCGCTACCGGATTCTATATGTGCATTTGTCCATGGGTTTTTCCGGATACAGCCCGATAGAAAATGTATAGGAAATTACCTATAGGCACACCATAACTTTTACATTTTCCTTATTGAGACCGATAGAAAATAACTCAATGAAGGATATATAGGGATATCCCTATAGAGCAACCATAGAACATTTGACAAAATTTTATTAAAACCTATAGGGTCCTATAGGGAAAAAACTAATTTCTACATTTATGTGTATTTTCCCCATTGAAACCGATAGCAAATAAATCAATGGTGAATATCCCTATAGAACAACCATAAATCTCAACTACGGGTCCTATACAAACCGATACACCCTATAAAAACACCATACATCCCGATACAAATATCTATCGGTTTGAACAGGGTCTCTATGGGGTATTTTAAGCAGGGTAATTAAATTATTAATTCTATCGACTTAAAGAAGACATTTTTAAGTTATATCGTTAGGGAAATGACCTTTTACATTGTAAAGTAATGTTAATTATGCCTACCAAAGTTGTAAGACAAAATATTCTATCAATCCCTAAAGAAAAAATCAGAATGTAAGTAAGATATAATATAACATAAAAACATAACAATGTAATTGTATCTCATGCCATAAACATCGAGTTAAACTGTATGTGGAACTGACGAACTATTTTCGCAATTTTAAATAATATTCAGTTGATTTTGCATGTTAATATTTCACATTAGGATCGGCCATTTTACGTTTTATTCATTCATTTCCCATGATTTTTACGACCGTTCCAATTCAAACAAAAAAGAACGTGCCAGGAACGTTCCAACTCTTACCAGGGTGTCCTAAAACATTTTTTTAATTAGTTTATTTTTTTGTAATTCAAAGTTTATTTTGTTATTATATTTTATTTAAGATATTTTTAAATTTTTATATTTGGTTTCGTTATTTATAATTTTCCAGCTTTCCCTACTAATATTATTTGAAATAATTAGTTTTTTATCATTAAATACCTTTTTTTCCAGCTTTATTTTATTTTTATACAGTTTTTTTTTTAAATTTTTATAACGCAAAGTGTATTAAGAATTATTAATTAGTATATACAATTTATCCATTTATTCTCTTGTAAACCATTGCTTGAGTTTACTTTTATACACCTTCTTAACTAAAGTAAAACACAAATATTAAAATGACAAAAAATATTGTAAAAAATATATAATTTCATTTGTATAAATCAATACCTTTTAAAACCTCTACACCAAGGAACGCTCTACACCTTCGCTACTTATCAGAGTTTGAGTTGGACTTTCTCTTGGCCTCTTTTTGCCTCTCTATTGTAGAAGGGGCCCTTCTACACAGCATGTATTGACCTTAAAGGCTGACCACTAACTTCCCTGTTAGGGCTATTAATTTATCCTTAATATCATTAAGTTACTTTACTGGCTCCCGGAAATATCCAGTATCTTGACCTTTTCCTTTCCCTCACTAAAAGTCTATGTAAAAATAAGTAACAAATAATTATTTTAAGATATTTTAAGATTACCCTTTTCCAATTTTTGTGACATAAGTTGTCGCGCGGTGCACTATATAAGTGTACCGCTCCTCCAAAATGGCTATATTGCTTAATGTTTTTAATTTTGATATTACTTTTGGCCATCCAATAAACATTATTTCGATTTAAACACGATATTTATTAGAAAAAAATAATAAAAAGCAAATAACAAAAAATAAAACAATAAAATTGTTATATATATTGTAAAGATTTCTCCTTACACCAGGTTCGTTAAAACAAGTTTTATGAAAAATTAATAAATTAGCTATTTTGTGACTATGGCTCGTGATTGTCTTACCAAAATTTGGACATCTACGTTGTGTTTACTTACGTGTTTTATTAAATACATTGCTTTAAGAATCATACTTGGGAGACTTAGGTATACAAAAAAATAAAATACAGTGTTTAGTTTACCCCAAATTAATTTACTTTTCAAACAGTTAAAAAAAAAACAAGGGGTGGCTCTTAGGGAGATACGACCAGGGAAAAAGAGCTTGAGAAAAAACCCTGTTCGGCTATGAAGTAGCAAAGGATTACACGATTAGGCATGGTTTCTTTAAAAGTTTATGCAAATCAAATGGAATGACACGACGCTCGTTACACTATCTACCCCTACGGGTTCAAAAAAATAGGAAAAACTTTGTTAGTTTAACAGGGCAGTTAACTGTTAGTCTGTCAACGTTAACATTGCCCTGTGGAGAACGAGGTCCACACTGGAAGCAACTCGCGTAAAGATGCAGTTTCAGGATAAAAGTTGCGATGCCACCTAGAGAACCTAGGTGACCAGTTATCCCTCACGGAGGAGAGTATTTTAGTATCTACTGCAAACTACGTACTAAAGAAAAAGGAGTATTCAAAGTTTAAAATTAACGGTCAATACTCCCTTTTAAGCAACGAAACGTCCTGTATTACACTGATATTTCTTATTAAAAAAATGCATAATCGTGTTGAGGGAAGGTCTAAACATTTGAGTAGTATACAACTAAATTAACCCTAAGACAATAAAATAAAGGAATATAAATTGTTACATTTAGCAGTAAACTTAAAAGGTAAAACCATTCTATAAAAATAGCTAAAACAAAAGGTGTTAATATCGAGTAAAATTCACTAAACGTGGTAGTGCAAAGTAACTAATGCTCAGTTTATTTAAGTCAAAATCGTTCTACGTTTAGTGGACTTTACTACATAATTGGGCTACTAAAATTAAGAACTAATCTGGGAGAATACACAAACACTTGTAACAATTGTTTACACAGAATTTTACAATAATTGTGGTTTTAGCAAAGATTCACGAAAACCATCTCTTCTCTAACACTTCGGAAAACTTTCTGCCCCTTTCTTTGCTTCCCTCTCCCAGTTTCGATGTTGTTTTCGCCTCATCTGGCCAACAGATTTTTTCCCATTTCAGGCAAAATTCCGGTCTTCCACGAAACTTTGTAATTTCTTTACCTCTACGTGTTTTATCATTCCTTTTACCTCGGGTTTACACCCCAATTTGGAAAATACAAAATTTTAACTTTAAAATAAATAAATGTATAAATTTTTGAAACCCTTACAATATATATAAAAAGAGAAATTAGAAGGAACTTTAGAGTTCTTTCTTTATTTGTGTATTCTTATAAAAATGTATACTCTAAAAATAATGATTATGTTTCGAATTCTATATTTTGTTGATTTAGAAATTGTACATTGCAAAAATTGAAATTTAGTTACATATTAGTGAAGTATTTCTAAATCACTCTCAAGCTTTCTGTCCATATCTTCGAAATCAGTAGATTAAACTAAATATGCCGTCGACAGTGCATGGTAGACACATCAGTCATAGGTTACATGAAAAGGGCATTCAAATAAAAAAAACGACAAAAAGTTTTAATAAAAACCGAGCACTCAGTGCACCTGCGCGACTAGTTAAGGGTTAATAGCCCCACAAGAAGATCTGTTCTTTGGCTAGTTCAGCATAAAACGTTTTTATTTTTAAAAATTGTGGATTTTCTTAAGTTGTTTTTAAGTAAATTTAATATAATTGCATAGAAACATTTATCGCTGTTTAGAAAGATGCAAGGTCAAGCCTTTAAACATATGAGAATCGGAATACCCTTTAACATAGGTGATGTTTGGGATTTCGTTGGGTGAACATACATGTTAAGAAATCGATGTTTATGAACAACAAGAAAGGAAATTGGCCTTTAAGCGCGGTTTATCCGAACTTTATTATAGTGCCATATATGCCATCGTGCTGAAACA